AAATCAGTCACTATTTTTTTTGGTTTATTCTTTAATTCAGAATTACTTTAATGAATGATCCTGATCTCCATAGATACATGTTAATTTCTTCAAGATTCGAATCTGTCACAAATTAAGCAAATTCATAACTTTTTTAAATAAAAAATACAGAATGTTATAAAACTAAAAGTTCTGTTTTTTTTGTCAGAGGCTGCTGTTTTTTTATGCTGTTGTATTTGTATTTTCAAAAAATAACAAAACTTTGTTTTCAAGTAAAAAGTTATAACCAGTACACTATTTCAAAGCACCTTCAAATATGTGTGTGTGACCTCAACTTTGCATGTTTGGAGATACACGTATAACCTTGAGTTAGTTATAATATTGATACAAAGTATTATATGTAATGTATTATCAAAAATCATATCATAATCAAAGAATGAAGTTAAAAGTTTTACTAGACATACAAGTGATTCCATGTTTTCAGACTGAATAAAAACTGTATATTGAAAATTGGTTTACTTATTGAATTAATAAACCCACAAATCCACTTCACTCCACTCCGGTCCACAACTCCACTGTACTCAACCCTTCAGTACATGCTTACTTTAAATGACATTTGCTGCCATGCTTAATTGAAACTTCGGCTTAATTAATTGTGATATTAATTTTAGTATATTTCACAGATATTTTGTTTCATGTATCTCATATCTCGTATTTTGTTATTATAAAAAAAAAAACATGCAACCACGCATCCCATATTGCCTAATAGACTATGTACTCCAAAATTTCACTCAAAAATCTAACTCCAAATCTCGGACATAACATTGTAATTGTAGTTCTTCTCTTATTTTTGTGTTCTATTTTACTTCAAATTTTCACTACAAAATCTCACTCCAAAAATTTCACTCCAAAATCTCACTCCAAAAACTTTACTCCAAAAGTTCACTCCAATACTCCACTCCAACAATCCACTCCATAAAATACATTACGCCGCATGGAATTCTGTAATACGACCATCTATCACACACGGTTGTGCTGTATTGGCCGACGTCATCAGCTTCAAGTCAACAAAACCTGAAACATAACAATATAAATCAACAATATAATTCAACACTAGCGAAATAAGAGTATCGCTAGGATTCATGACTTGGAATAAATGTAGATTATGTTGAATTATATTTGATGAGCTAAAGTGCTTAATATGATAAATGTATTGATTTGGATCACTTAACTAATTCGAATGTTAACTTGAATATATTTGATTTTTTTCAAAGTCTGTTAGTAAAAGAGAAAAGCAAGTAATATGACATTACCGCTTGCTGCTTTTAAGTCTACAAGTCTGAAATTGTTAACACGAACAAACTGTTAACCTGTGAATTAAGTTGTGTATATAATTAATCTGAGCGAGACTCCCATTTGTCAAATGTGTTAATGTAGATCTGAGGAGTCCGTGGAATACTTCGTACTCGAATGTCTTGCATATACCGAAACGAGTTATATGCTGATATTAATGAATATCTGAGTATTAACTTTTCCCGGTATTGCTTCACATAGTTAATGTCTTACATAAAAAATAAACATACTGCCTGGTGACTTATCTTTATCATGTTGATCCACATGTCAGTAAACATACATGGACAGTTTGGTACAAAGCTGTTTAGTGATATGTACTCTCAAAGATCTTTCGATCTTGGAAAATGTCTTTTATGAAAGTTAACTTCTTTTAATAGGTAACAATTTTTAACTGAGTTTTTCTAAGGAAAAAAAACAGTTATTATTTTGGTGATTTACGGCGGGCGGTGTGCGGGCGGGCGGGCGGCTGCCAACAGTTTGCGAGCAATAACTGATAAACCTTGTAACCGATTCTTTTCAAATTTTAATATGTTTATACTAATGACAAAATGGAGGTCAAGTTCGATATTGACGATTTTCACTTTTACTGTTCGGGAGTTATGGTCCTTGATATATTGGAAAATGGCACTTTATTTCGTTTCCGTTCAAAAACTTATGAATCCTTCTGCCTATGGTTTATCTATTTTAATATCGGCTGTTACTGATGACAAAATGGTAGTCAAGATTGATATCGACGATTTTCATTTATGCCATTCAAGAGTAATGGTCCTTGGTATACTGTAAATTTGCACTTTATGTTGTTTCCATGCAATTGCTTATGAACCGTTTAGACAATGCTAATAAAATTTTAATATGCTGTTACTGATGACAAAATGGAGGTTAAGTTTGATATTGAAGATTTCCGTTTTTGCCGTTTAAGAGTTATGGTCCTTGATAGATTGGAAAATATGCATAGAATTTTGCAAGTCAAAAAAAGCCTGAAAGTGCCTTTCAAAATACAGAAAGCCCAGTTTGCTGTCAATTTGACAGCTCATTCCTTGTTAACTCTGATATTATGTTAATTGTATTTTACTTGATTGTACATATAGTCATTGTAAACTCTATTGTAGACGAATTTGGAGGTACCACGCCTGCAAGTGCCCCCGTTGTAAAGGGGTCGTTTCTAAATACAAATATATTTATATATCACAAAAAATGAGGGCAAGAAAATGTGCCCTTTGTCAAACGGATGTGTATATGTAATTCCCTACAAAGAAACTAACTACATTATGGCGTATTATTTTGTAAGGACGACATAAATGCCAAAAAAGAATGCACAAAACTACAATTTTGATAGATTTTGGTAAATTAAAAGTTTTAATAAAAAAATGAATAAGAAGAACATGCATTGTTTATCCGAATTACTAGTATCTCGGAAGTAAAGCTTTGTTTTGTCTTTTAGTAAAAGTTCTTACTTGTTTTGTGATGACCATCGGTGCAAAATTTTGTTTGAATATGAATGTTTTTGATACTAGTATACAATAATCAATTAAATTCTCTAAATTTTGATTATATGGATACATTCTAAATTGCTCTCTTATCTATATTATATAGACCTTTTCATATTCAAGTCTCTAGCAACTTTTTGATTTTCATAACTCGAGTGAGATGATTGCCGGGGAAGTTGGCCATATCTCTTTAATAAGAGCATACGATACAGATGAAATGTTACATTGGATATTCATAGAAAATTTGACACAAAGGCAATGTACGTTGATATGCTCTCTCGAAATATGCAAAGAAAATATACCTTTTTCCCCCCCGAGATATTTCAGTTTGATTTTTTGCATGTTTCATACATGAATAAGCACAACATTTCAGATCTTAATACTTTTCCAAAAAAATAACACATCTTTTAAATGGAAAGATGTTGCAAAGTGTTGTTTATATTATATGCCTGTAACCAAGTCAGCAAAATGAAGGGTACGTGCGATAAAAAAAATGTGGAATCCTTACAATCAGCCTTACGCAATTTTCTTGCCACTCAACAAATACATACAAAAAAAAAACATCGACCGTTGATTTTTGCATACAATTATACGATATAACATTCTTTCGGAACTGCACGGTCGATCGGAAAAGGAAAACATGAATCCGTGTGCTTACTTTTTGCTAGAACACTTGTCCCAATAATTATGACGTCTTGAAAGGCTTTTTAAATCTTTTTTCTGTAACACATTCCACATGCCTTTCAAGATGTCAAAATTATTTTCACTACTAGAAAATCTTTTTTTAAACACTGGAGATCCCATTCCCCCCCTCCCCCCTTTTTTTTTGTTGGCGCTAAATTCAGTGTCGTCGCAATTGTCTTATTCATTCAATATCGTCATGCATATATTCCCGTCGTACATTTTTTAAAACACTATACCAGAGACTATACTCTTATAAATTGGATCACATTGATAATAAAAAAGTAAAAAGTCTTCCGATTCAGTTCATGATCCAATTTTATGATTTTTTTATATTAGATCTCGCATTATAAAATAAACAGCATGTTAGTGATATTTTGCAGCTGCTTTCAAATCACGCAACCGATTTGATGACGAGTTTGTAAAGTTTCCGCGGAATTTTGAATGCCTTTCTTGGCAAATTTACAAAATCAACCGGTTAGATTTTTAGGAGTTTTTATATCGTATACCCAGATTCAAACGTGTGCTCATCAAATACTACAATGAAACTTCTATTTATATAAATATTCATAATTTATGATACTTGAAACAATCAAGTTTTAAAATCAACCTACTTTTCATAAACAATTGAAGAGGGTTTGGTGGTGCAATGAAAGTTGAAAGACAAGAAGTTGTTTAGTGTTAATCCTACTTTTTGACATACAAAGATTTACTGTCATTTTCTTAGTCTTTTGTATCCGCCGAATTTGGGGTGCTCTACACACCCCCTTTCTGTATACAGCCGCCTATTGTACGGAAGCAAATATCTTGATGTATCCTCTGGTTTATTACAATGAATTTTCGGACAAATTACCTTACTAAAATCATGGTCACGCTTTCAACATCTTAGTAATTGGCAGTCGTTTGGTATCTGATAAGCGTTTGGAAATCTGTTTATTTCGTATTTGCTTGTCATGTGTTTTTATCTTTTGTTTTTTTATTATTCTATTATTCTTTTTTTTTCAGGCTTTGAAAAAGTCCAATACTGCATTTTTTTTTCTTAAACTATCGATATATGTATGCTAGATTGAAAACTCTGACATTCGAACGTACTTACTATTTTTTTTTATATTTTACTTCTCTGGCGAAATAATTTATCTATTTGTGATTTTTGTGTTTTTTTCTTGGTAGTTTCATTATTATTTATTTTTATCATTAAACAGTTATTATTTTCCGGTTTGCACCCTTTCCGTCTGCTGTTTTATCCAATCGTACTCTACATGGGGAAAGTATCACAATGTATCTAAATATTAGTATTTATATTTGTGTTTTAAAAAATCGGAAAATAAAAAGAATATATTTATATGTGGTGTGTATATCAAAAGTAACTTAAGTATCAAATCACTTTGCTTTTTGTAATTCATATCTTGTGTAACAGACAATCGACAACCAACCGGAAACTCTAAATAAAAATTTACTTTGAAATTTTCCCTAACAGTAACTTTTGTGATCAGACCCAACATGGCCGCGCTAGTGGAAGGCCAGAAATACGGGCTCTCTTCAAATTTTTCTCCTCACGACCAAAAAACGGTCGTTCAAGTAAAATTAACAGATTCAGCACTAAGAGCAATAGAGGAATATTTAAAATTGAAGGTAAAATTTACACGTTTTACTGAAAAATATCACACAATTGTCTGTACAAATATGGTGTTGGCAATGGAAAATTGCAAACTCAACAGATTTTAGTTCGAATATTTTTTGCGTATATTTATTGTTCCTGATTTTACTGAAGGATTTGATATTTTAGGTGTGAAGTTCACTATTTGTACAAAATATTTTCATTCATGGTGTCCCGTGGATTATTGTAATGAACCGTTTTTCCCCGAACCATATGTGGACCTGTGAAACTTCGCTAAACCAAAAAAATCAGTACCACAAATATTTGGGCTTCATTGGTCCTTTCTGACGAGATTAATTCATGTCAGTACTATTCATAGATACCAAGTTATCTATGAGGATTTCTTTGGAATTTGTGATTCTTAGTGCATGATTCTACTTCATAAATGTTCTATAACCTACTTTTGCAGAGAAACATATGTTTCCCAGATTTTTGTTTAGTTTCAGATTACAAGTTAATGACATTCAAATTTGAAATACGATGCTTATTTTCATGTTGCATGCAGCACTAATGTTATTTTTTTCATAATATGTGTTTTACCTAATAGTTGTTTAAAAAACAGTCACAAGCCTCTTTTGAATTTATAATTTTAAAAGCTGATGCATTTATGGACTGTCTAGTAAAAATGATATATTACTTTGCAATTCAACAATGTAGATGTGACTATTGAATATTAGACTTTTAGAATGGACCAATTCAGTGGTTCCACTTCTCACTGTCATGACTGCGGTAATTCATTTTCACAGTCTCAGCAGCTTCACAAATTGGCTAGTTATTGAGGGTAAATACCAAACAAAATTTAAAAGTTCACTCACATTTGGAAAGCTGTCGAGTGGTCAATTCCCACTCTGAAAAAGCTACCTTTAGCAGAGCTCAAGAAACTTTCTTGCACATAATAAACACCCCTTGCTTTAAAAAAAAGTAGTTTTTGTACTTAGTGATTAGAACTTTGTTTCTACTTCTGTTCCTATATAGTTTTAACATACTTGTTATTTGATTAATCTGTTTTATATCTATAGAGCCCTACATCATGTACACAGAAACTGACCTTAAGTCAACATTTAAAAAAACAAATTGAAAATTATCCTACAGCAGTGAAAATTATCTTTAAATTCTTAAATGCATTCAATCTTCACAAACTACAACCTATAAATGTTTTGCTACGGTTGAAATCAGCAACTAATAATTAAACTTTATTCATCAATGAGACATAAAATTCATCATGTTCATATGGCCTGTTTGTTGATGAAGGAAGACATAGCGATCCTATATTCTGTCATTGGCTGTGCATAATTTAGGTTCAGTATGTAGTTCCTTTTTTTAGACACTAACAACTTTGTCAAACCTTCATGGAATTAATGAAACTTGGATATACATGTAGTCTTGTGTTTAAAGTTTTCAAGACGTTGATAACCTAGTCAAACCTTCATACATAGAATTACATGAAACTTCGGCAGATTCCAGATGCTTTCTTATGATTATTAAGAGATAATGTCTGAAGCAAAATTTTCCAAATATATTTTTTTCTCCATTTCTCCACTACTTTACTGTTATGCAGACTTAGCTTTTTGCAGAACTTTCACATTGACATACGGACTCAGAACAAAATTTTCAGACAAAAATAACTTTGTTAAATCTTCAGAAAATGTTATGAAACTTGGACAGAAGCTAAATGAAGACCAAGAAATAGCAATTGAATAGAAACCTGTTAACCTTTTTATATATTTTAATTTTAGAATTGTGGGTCCTTAATGGTTTTAAACGTCATACTTTATTTGGTCCTTTAAAGTTTTTGATTCAGGCGTCACTGATTAATCTTTTATAGACAAAACTCATGTCTGATAAAATTGTAAATCTAGTATCTTAAATGATATTTTTGTAACATTTGTTCAACGACTGGGTCGATGCCACTGGTGGTGGGGGTTTCCTCCCTGAGGTAATCACCAGCCAAGTAGTCAACAACTGGGTCGATGTCACTGGTGGTGAGGGTTTCCTCCCTGAGGTAATCACCAGCCAAGTAGTCAGCAACTGGGTCGATGCCACTGGTGGTGGGGGTTCCCTCCCTGAGGTAATCACCAGCCAAGTAGTCAACAACTGGGTCCATGTCACTGGTGGTGGGGGGTTTCCTCCCTGAGGTAATCACCAGCCAAGTAGTCAACAACTGGGTCGTTGCCACTGGTGGTGGGGGTTTCCTCCCTGAGGTAATCACCAGCCAAGTAGTCAATTACTGGGTCGATGTCACTGGTGGTGGGGGTTTCCTCCCTGAGGTAATCACCAGCCAAGTAGTCAACAACTGGGTCGTTGCCACTGGTGGTGGGGGTTTCCTCCCTGAGGTAATCACCAGCCAAGTAGTCAACAACTGGGTCGATGTCACTGGTGGTGGGGGTTTCCTCCCTGAGGTAATCACCAGCCAAGTAGTCAACAACTGGATCGTTGCCATTGGTGGTGGGGGTTTCCTCCCTGATGTAATCATCAGCCAAGTAGTCAACACTTCAGTCTTGACATGAAATGTCAGTGATATGGGCATATTTATAAATTAAATGTTTACAGCCTTTCAATTGTTTGAAAAACTACAGATTTGTTGTGTGGTCAAGATATTTAAAAAACCCATTTATAGCATAATGTGTTAAAATGTACTGCAATTGAGTATTATTACAGAACAGAATCTATATAATACTGTGGATTCATTTATTTTCGTGGGTACCAATTTTCGTGGATTAAGGAAAACTTGCATGTTCATGGATATTTAAATTCGTGGTTTTGCCGAAGTCTGCATACAAGCCTATAGAAAATTTGTTATTCGTTGAACATTTAATTTCGTGGTTCACCAATACCCACGAACTCCACGAAAATTGGTATCCAACGAATAATAATGAATTCACAGTATACTAAGAAATTTTTCAACATTTTTGCGTATAGATATATACATGAAATGAAAAGTTATTTAGCATAATTATGGTTATTATTATGGATATTTTCAATGCTAAAACCCAAAGCTTTGCATATTGATTAATTAAGATTTGTTTTAAAGCAAATATTCAGGTGTATGTGCATTTGATTTTGTTTTAGTTCTGTTGTAGCCATCTTTTGTAATCTACTCCTTCTTCAGCATTTTACCTAGGGCCTTAGAATAGCTGACATTCCTGATGGTAAAAGTTGAGCATAAAAAATACATTGGTTTCAGCATTCAGCAAACATGACCAACTCTAATTTCTAGTGCCTATCCTAAAGTTTTTTTTGGTCATTTTTGAACAAGCACTTTTAAAATTCTCTGTTGAAACCAGTAAAAACTTTTTGAAAGATAAAAATATCGTTTTGGCGAGTAAGCAATGTTTACTTCCGTTGTGTAGCCAGTTCCTGTTTGTAAATCAGTTGAATTTTTACGGCACTCATTGGGTAAAGAAAAATTTCATTAAACTCATCTTGGAATATTTTCATTTTTGTCTGCATCTTGAGGATGTTTAGTTGTATAAAGATTTATTAATTTTTAAATCAGCCATGCAGTCACTTCCTATTTGCTGATATTTTGAATCACTCATTGTACATGACATTTTGTTCACATTTTGTTTGTGTTTAATGAAAGTGAATGATTAGTTATGCTTCAGTATACATGTTACCTGAAAAAATGGCATGCAGGGACGCAGGTCTAGAATCAGTTTTGGTCTTGTTTCAAACTGATGAATTTATACGATTCACTAGTACTGCATTAACGAACTTATAATGACTGTTTTACCACATTCACTTCATGAAATATCTTACAATTTACCGTTGTTCTAAAATCATTCAAGATTTATACTTAACTATAGTGACAGTATTATTCAGGTTGGCAACAACCCCTCAAATGAGGGGTACATTTCAAGTGATAAAACATATTTTTTAGTAAAAACCACTTTTTAGTACAAATGAGCAAATATTTATATTATTTGAAGAAACTTTTCCCAAAGAACTATACATCTATCTGGTATTATATGGTCAAAACATGTCCAAGAATTTTGCAATATTCCTGGACTTGTATCTTCTTTATTATTGAAAAATAATTGGACCCCTCTTTTAGAAAAGTTGTTCCAAATATAATGAATTTTCCCCCTTTTAAGTTAAAAAATGTAAGTTTTTCTTTTTTCTTTTCTACAACAGTAAAATGACCCCTTGTCTGAGGGACAGTCCCTCATTTAAGGGATATCCCTCATTTAAGGGATATCCCTCATTTGGGGGGTTGTTTCCAACCTGTTATTTCCAGAAGACCATAATTTGTTTCCAAAATTAATACAAAATGGTGATAAAAACCTGACCTTATTGAAAGGTGTACACATTTATTTTCCAGACCTAAACCCATGATACCATTTATGTAATTGGCTTTTCAGATTGGGTTTCCCTAAAAGGCCTAAATCATATTAATTTCCAGTGTAATAAATTTATTCAGCCATTCAAAGTATTAAAACCATAAGTATTGAAACTTGGTCATCTGAGTGCTTCAACTATTTAAAATACTCATATCCAAGCTATGGGACTGTCCAGAAATTGTTTACTGAATCTGTGTTGTTTGATGAATTCCCATGGGGTTAAGATCTTTGGTCTTGTTAAGACTATACCTATATTCAGACTTTCACACCTTGATAACACACAGAATTTCATTGGACTTTTTATTAATTCTCATTACATCTAAATTGACATTGTTAATAAGATTATCAAATTCATTAAAGTGTCAGGAACAAACCTAAGTCATACCTAGTACAGAGAATACTTTAGGAAGTGGGCCAAATGTCATTAAACCAAAATAGAGATATGTTTTGAATTACTTGAAGTACTACAAAATGTACATGTAATTATTCACTGTAAATAAGAAATGTATATATGTAGGTAGCTCATTATAAAGTAATCTGATGAAAACAACATTCCAGAACTAGAAGAGGAAATTAGGTTTTTGACTGTAATTTTAACTGTATCATAATAGTACACATATGACAATATAGACAAC